TTATTATCATTATGAAAGTTGCCTTTCAGTATCAACCGAAAGAAAGAGGGCACACAAAAAAAAACCATGTTTGACTTGGCAGCCAAAGGGTTAAGCGCGTCAGGCAAAGATTTTCATTCTCTCTAGCCATTTTCCTCATTTCCATCCCTTTTTTTGCGGTCCTGCCCCAACATTGACTTTCGTTTTTTCAATTTTTCAACATCAAACCCAGACGGGGGGCGACTATATATGACAAAAGAAAAATGAATGTTGCATAGATTGGCGGCGTGGTTGCATAGATTTTCCTCCTTATTCCTCACTCTACTCTCCCTACATCCTTTTTGGGTGCTTTATCCATGACATTTAGAAGCTCGCTGGTTACTTAGATAATTTTACACTTAATTTCATTGAAGTTGTCCGTTTGCCTGGCTGTAACCTGATCCCTTATCATCATTCCTGCAAATGTTTGCCCTGAATAAATGTGTCGAGGTATCGAGGGTTAAAGTTTAGCTAAACGATGCAGTTCAATCTCTTGGCAAGTTTTCCTCAAATTTTCCTGTATCCCTGCCCTCTCTCTGCCTCTCCTTCCTGAGAGTTCCCCCTTGGTTCAGTATGTAACAAGTTTATTTCGTTATTGATATGCAGCCGGAAGTTTTTGTTTTCTTCTGGAGCACCACCCCAGAAGGGGAGGCGAATTCAAGGATGTTGCTCTAAGTGAAAGATGGTTCGAGATTGGTATTCGCTGGCTAGAGAGATACCCTTTGCTGAGTGGGATGAGAGCTGTAAATAGGGAAATAATATAATTTTCTGAGTAGCAAAGATTTGTAATGTGTGGACTCACAAATATAAACTATATAGGGGTGGTGGCATATCTGTAAATAAATATTTTAGCTTGGCAGAAACTGTTTAAGGCGTTATCCTTATAATGCATCAATATTTGATAAATGTGAGGAATAGTTCGATATACCTTGTTCTATGGCATATCCAGATATCCACAAATCAGCTTAAAACCAACTTTGAGCCGCGATCGTAACTCAGGAAAGTGTTAAACCAACTCCACTTAATCCCCCCGACACATATCAACTGCAATGGCAATACCGACAGCATCCAAAGTTTTTGCATTTGTCGAACGCATAAATCTTGCACTATTCGCGAATTACTTATAGCAAAAAAACAAAAAAACACTGAAAAACAGAAACTTTTCAGTGGCGAACAAGAAACTAAGTTACGCCTATGCCAGAAGCTGCCAATGTTTTGCAATACTCTACCCAAGTAGCACCCTATACCCTCATACCCGGGACCGCTGCGTGAAAGCTAAGCCAAGCTCCTGCTCCTTCCTGGCTATGCAAAATAGCAACAAGCAGCACCATTGTAAGCACGGAAATTGAATCGAAAAGCTGGTTTCTGCTGCCGGCTGCTTTAGCTCTCGGTTTTTGCTGGGGTTTTCCACAGTTGGGCCAACAAAAATACTCTTGCAATAAAGTTAAGAAAAACATCAACTAGGCAAATGTACGGGTAGAAAGAGGCTACGGCGAGGCCAAGTGTCTGGCAGGGGGCAGGGGCAAACTTTGCACAGCAGATCTAGGGAGTGGAAGTGGCAACCGATTGATTTTTAGTGCCTCTTCGCTGGGCGGAATCAATTGAGAAACACCCACCCACGGAAGCAATTTTCCCAAGTTTCCCCAACCCTTGTTTTAGGGCTAACTGCCATGGATGTATCCGTACCATAACTTGTAATAATGAACCGAAAATTAAAAACATTTTCGGGTTTTTTCCCGATTCAACTTTATTAGAATATCCAGGGATGGAAACCCACTTTGGAGCTTTTGAATAACTGCTTCGCTTTTTTTCTATTGCTGGAGATCCTGCTCGTGGTGTTATTTTTCAACTAACATTTTCCATTTCGGCCTCAAAAGCATTGCTGCAACTCCAGTGCTCCCCAGAACCCAATTTCATTCTAAATTTTTCTGGTAAAAATTTCGCTGCTGGCAGCTCAATCTTTTGCCACAGCCACAAAACAAACGAATTTGTTTATTTTCAATTGCATTTATTTTTCCCGTTGTCTCGTTTATTACGTTTTTTGAAGCTGCTAACGGATGTTGCTTGTCTGTTCCGAGAATGTTCTGTTAGGAAAGAGTTAAGAGTTCACCTTTCGTAAATTCTAACATGCGACCATTAAACAATTGTTCTTATTCCGATACCATATACTGATTTTCGATTCCATAGGAAGAATAAAATTCGTGGTGCGAGACATTTGCACAGTGAGAGAAGGGACCTGCGAGAGACTTGGTCTGGGGCAGGGAAGAGGGCCATTGCACTGCCTGCCCCGCCGATTCTAGTAGCGCCTCCCGACCCCGAAAGCGGCAGGGTAAGATTACCAATAACGACAAGCGTCGGTACATAAAAATCATAGAGCTAATTTATTTTGGCTAAAGACGGCGGAGCACAGAATTAGTGCTTATTCTCTAGTATAATATGTAATATATTTTTCCTTAAGCCCAAGAAAGCTTTGCCTTTGTCTTTCGAAAGGCATAAGTTCATTTGAAAGTCGATTATAATTGCGAACAAATGCCTGATTTCCCACTCAAAAATTGATCAGTTTGTAATTAGCTGTCCACGTGCCTGAAAGCCGAATTCCATTTGGATTTTCGGCTGGAAGTTGACCTGCTCTGAGGCCTGTAAACGGAATGGAAATTGTTAAGTAGTTTTTGTTTCATAACTCACGCACATGGGGGAATACGATGGGAAAAAGACGGTTTGTCTTCGCCCAGAAGGGACCAGAGGGAGAGCGAGCAGACAAGTAAAAGAAATAGGTACATATGTATCGAGGAGGGCCGGGATGTGGCAACGGCCGACTCGAATTTTAAATTTAGTATTGGCCAGCAGCCAGCAGCCAGCAGGTCTATGAAGGCCATTTCGACATTTTCTATGCAAAGCAAACAGGAGTAGTGACTTGGGTTGCAAGGCACAGGACACAAGACACTGGCATCCAGCCCCAAGTGACATTGAATTTAAGGCCTACCGACAGCTCTGACATGTGTCTATTTATTCATTTTCTCTCTCTCGAAGAACGCTGCCTACGCTCTCCAGAGAAATGAGATGTGTATCTCGGCTGTTGTCAATTATAAGTGGAGGAGGTTGGTCCTGTATCCTAGATTCTACGTATCTGCCGAAAATTATTACCTCCACTAATTGCAAGTGGAAGGCGGCGGCCAGGGGGAGCCCTGCGAGGGTTGTGCTGGAGGCACCAAGAGAGGTTGGTTCTTGAGCTCTGAAAAAGTTCAGCGCAAATGAGGCAAAAACCGTGGCATACTTTTCGGCGCACATTCGTTCAAAGCTGCTCTTGGGTGCGCTCTCATCTACGTGTGTGTGTGTGTGTGAGCGTGCGTGCCGTGCTTGTCTTGGTTTGTTTGCAAGCGCTTAAAGGCGAGGCAAACCATGTCAATGACATCTGACACGTGACCCTTTACCCCACTTCGCCACACATCCTCTCACACACACACGCACACAGATGCAGGAAGAGACTCTGCCGTACACATGTACCGTGGGGCAGGCTGCCATAAAGCAATAACCGTAAACATTTAGTCAGGGGCATCCAAAAGTTGTACAGTTGTACAGCTCAAGTGACGGAGGGTATACCAGACCAGGAAAACATACAAACATTTGTGTATTCCTGAGTCACAGTCTAATCAATCAATCAACAATAGTTAACTTACTATCCACTATAGAAATCCGTTTAACTATCCCTTCATAAATTTGTGTTTTCAATATTTTATCATATTTTTGCAGCACAGTTCTCCATCTGATCAACTTACCTAAGGGGTATCGTATAGTCTAGACACACCGAAATATGCCACTGTCTTATTGTTGTTGTTAGCTTTTTTGGGGTCGTTCCAACGTGATTAGATGCGATTGTGCGCGCAATTGAGCGAAATTGATGGCAATGCCATTAAAAGGTATGGCTGGTCATGCCTTCCGCTTCCACTACCCCCCGCTGTTGCTGCGTTTACCCTGCTTACACCCCACTAAACGCTGCATTGGTTTTCCCTTTGGGATGTCAGCGTCCCAACCATCGCTGCCATCGCCATCGCCATCGTCGTCGTCGTCGTCGTTCATAATTAATTTTCTACTGAATTTACTTTCATGGCATTTTGGTTAGCTGAGAGTGGTCCTCATCGTCCACCTCCCCCTTCTTCCTACTGCTGCTGCTGTGGGCACATAAAAGTTGTTTCAGCTGCGGCATTTATTTTAATTTGAAAACTATTTCCCTTCCTCGTCCTTCCTTATTTCTAACCAACCGGTTGCAACCCCTAGGCCCTGCCCAACCCCGCCCTGCCCTCCTCTTCCACTGCCTCTCTGCTTCCGCTTCCGATCACGCTTATGCTCATTATTTTCGCATGACTTTCGTTGGATTTTTATTACACAAGTCGCTGGATATTGCGTATACGCAGCGCTGTCCGCCGTTTTCATTATAATTTGTATATGGCGTGCACCCGATTTTAGTGAGGAGAATGGGATGGGGAATAAGGCACAAAATCTGCTATAAATATTAGTAGAGGCCGCTGCCGCTGGGGCTAATGGTAACATAATTATATGGCGTGCTCGGTTTCTGGCCAATCGAGGGACTGGGCCAACTTTTGGATATCCTGTGCAAATGATCAAAGGAGGAACGCTCTCGCTTCGTGGCATACGAGTATGTCGCGGCACATATCAAAATACTTAGCGTAGTTAAGCGCGCAAATTATTTGCACGAAACTATTTTTATTCCCTCTAAGGTTAAACGGGATGAGGTTGGGGCAGAGCCACTTCCGGTCGAGACCTACAACCTGCCAGGCAGTTGGCGTGTGTGGCGCACATTTCGCTCTTCGGGGAGTCGTTGCCCCCCAAATGGCAAAACATTGAAAGGTAACCCGCCCTTTCCCGAAAGTCTCGCTGAAGCTGAAGTTCCTTCTTCGCCTCTGGCAACCTGGCAATTACCTTTTGATTGGTCACTTAAGCAATGTTCTCATTCTGTTGCTGGTTTTTTTTGTTCGACGATTTATATGGTAGGTTGTTGGTAGACACAAGGTCACTATACATTTTTCAACATTTGTAATTTTGATAGGTCACAAAAAAAGTATTTTTATTCCTTCTTTTCATTGAGCTTTTTTAAGCCGGAAGCAGTGCCATCGCCCATGTCACGACTCGTGGCTACAGAGGAAAGGGATGAAGGTCGTGCCACAGGCTGGGTGCACATCAAGGAGAGCGGCTTGAGGCGCTCCCCCTCGAGGGATATTTTGGCCTCGAAGTAACGTCTGGCCCCATGAACGCCCACCTGCGAGACATCCACTTCGTCCACGCGGCTGAAGCGATCGGTTTCGGCATCTCTGGTGGGCCACTTGTCCAGCTGCAGGCGGTTGAGGAGTGAGGCGTATATTAGTAGGAAATGGCTAAAGTGCACGGCACTGCAGCGTGGCCCAGCTACTTGGGCCATGATGCTCTTGGCCTCCCGGTGTGTCTGCGGCACTGAGAGCTTTTCTAGACCCCGTTTCAGGTCGGCGAGGGCAATGTAGCCGTCGGCATCCTGGTCGACTTCGTTGAATACCTTGAAAGCCACATCGATCTCGGGGCGCTTGAACCAGGCAACAAACTTGTGGTATACCTCTTCCATGCCTATGTCCCCCTCCTTGACGCTGATGTCCATGCAGCTGTGATGCGTGAAGTTTGGTTTTGGTTCCATAACCACGAGCATTGAGTCGTGAGACGAGTCCTTGCCACCCACTACCCTACATTCTCTTTGATGCATCAACTGGTCGCAGGAGTTGATCTGCGGCAGACTGCTACCACTGTCCAAGCTCATGTTGGAAGTATGAGGATCGCGCCGAAGGATCATCTTTCGAATGGTATGGTACGACTCGCAAGAGGAAAAGGATGAGCATGACATGCTCGCAGTGGTCATATTCTCCTCCGACTCTTTGCCCCACTCGTTGAGCGATATCCCTGATGCTTCTCGCTCTATATCACCGAAAGACTCCTCTGTCGACTCCTCTGGCTCGTCCGATTGTTCGCCTGGCTGCGCAGAATCCTGTGGCAGCACCGTTGATGCCTTGGATGATAGATTGGACTCGGGTGGGACAACGGCCTGCTCTCCTGAATCATTGGGCCCATTTTTGAGCGTCGTCTGGCTCACACTCACACTCATCGACAAGACATAATCACCGTCAATCATATCTGCGTCCGACGACATTGTGCACAATCGCAGGATTTAACCGATGTTCTAAAAATTAAAGCTATTAGTATAAAAAAAAACTATAAATTTGTTTAATAAAATGTGTCTTTTCCAGATCTTTTCCAAAAATGTCTGTGATATGATGATGGAATTTACTTTGAGTGTCTCAGGAATCGAATAAAATTGTCATGGAAAACAAAGAACTCCCAAATATTATCACTCTTCATAATGGTTTGGGCTTCTTGAATGAGCCCCCATTTGCACAACTTTTTGGGGAGAGGGGAGAGAGGTTGGTCCGCTGTCCACTTGAGATTAACGACTGAAGTCGAATTTCGGCACGTTAACATGCCATGGCCATAAACAGTTAATTAAGCTTTTATTGGTTACTCTTTTTTCTCGTTTGGCTTTCGAACCGACGGACATTTCACGTTTTATTTGTCAAACAAGCGGCCAAAAAGTGACGACCATAAACGTCCAACGCAGTCCCAAAGCCGAAGGAGACCGTCACCACGCACCGCCTTGGTTGCGGCTACAGTCCGGGAATCCAACTCTGACTCTGACTCCGGCGTCACCGCTGCGGTACCGGTCTACGGCTTATTTATTCACTCATTTCGTGTGCAAAAATATTTGGTGATAACGAGCTGGCAGCCCACGGCGACTTGTCATGTTTAAACCACATTTATTTGCTGCTGTGCTTTCTCCACAGCGTCGACAATAAAAAAATTTATATATACACATACATATACCTACATATATAAAAGTAATTTTTCCGTATATATGTATATTTTTTTTTTGTACGTTAGCCATACAAGAAATACGAACAACGGGGACGGACGGGAAAGGAACAAGAAATGTCAGCAAAAAGTTGCCGGCTTCGGCATTTAATTTACATAGCAAAGTTTTTCCTTATTTCGAGAATTCTGATTATAAAATGGCCAAGGAAATGGGGAACTGAACTGCGAGTTGGGAACTGGGTTAACCCCGGAGTAGCTCTGGTGGATGTACGGATGGCGGGAGGCTCGCAAAAACATCGACAACCAGATAAAAAGCGCCAAAAAAACCAACGAATTTGTCCCCAAAAACAGGGCTTTATAGGTGAAGAGAGGGTGCAAGGTAAGCTGAGTGCAGAAAGTTCTGCAGCTCTTTAATCAGGCACCAACACAAATAAACTCAGATATAGGCAAATCATAAGCAATTGTGGGTTCTGTGAATGGGTTTCGCTTCCAAACTGCCCATTCAGGCTAGGAAACACGACCTACAAATATAAAATTCCTTACACTATTGCACGATTCCTTAACTATAGAGAGAAAACAAACGACAACAACGGAAGACAATAATATTGAACAATGTACCTTTCAGACGAGAAATCAAATAAGCAAGAAACTACTGTCCCTACTTAAGGTAAACGAGACCCATTGAAATATTTTTTGTAATATAAGAAAATACTCACTTGAGATAGTGTCTGAAGAATGAGCAGATTAATGAGCCGAAAATTTTACACCACCAAAAAGTAATATCAAGAGAAATCTTTACTGGTAATTTAAAAACTTTTTCAAAATATTTCTATGTGTAATTTTGTAGCTAATAATTTGTTTGAAGTTTGGAACGAGGCCAATATTTCTTATGAGCTCAGAGTAAATTAGAATGAATTGTCAAATAAAAAAATCGTGCTGTGTTCAATAAATCAACAAATGATATTCCTATGCAAAGGTACAATTTTCGAATCTCTTTTCGGGAACATCCTTTTCTTATCGATATACGAGACACTCACATTTGCTCCAGAACTTTTACATAATCTTGAAAATCCGTGAGAATCACAATGTCGTTCACACAAATCGCGCGTAACTGCGGCCGACTGGCAGCGGCACTGGGCACCAAACGGATGGCCAGCAGCGCCGTGGTTCAGTCCCAGGCGGCCAGGATGATGCACAGGATTGCCGTCCCGGCCGTGGCCAATCAAGTGAGCCAAAAATTCGCATTGCGTAGCTATTCCGCCAAACGCACCATTGAGGACATCAAGTTTCGCGTGTTGAAAGTCGTGTCCGCCTACGACAAAGTGACGGCCGATAAGTTGAAGGTCGACTCCCATTTCATCAATGACCTGGGCCTGGACTCTTTGGACCATGTGGAGGTCATTATGGCCATGGAGGATGAGTTTGGATTCGAGATCCCAGATTCCGATGCCGAGAAACTGCTTAAACCTGCCGACATTATTCAGTACGTCGCCGACAAGGAGGATGTGTATGAATAAAATGTAATAATTGTAATGCAAACCATGAAACAGATTACACTTTAATTTTAAATCGAGGAGAGGTCAAATACAATTTGAACAATTTGAACATCCCCTGCTGAGTGTGCCTACTTTTGAGCCAGGAAAACTTTCGCTTGGCCCAAAAGTGTCAAAACAACTGGCTTGGAGGCGGAGGCTGGCGCTCCTACGGCCAAAGAAAGTGTAAGTTGTTGATTTCGTAAGCCAGTGCGAACAAAGGAGGTGCGGCACGCCCACCAAAAGGGAGTTGGCCAATGGCCAATACGTACTATTTTTTGGTTCACTATTTTCCGTTGGGCTCAGAGAAGTTCATGAAAAACTGCAAGCAAGTGAAATTGAAATGCAGGCTGACGTCCGCCCAACTTGCTGCATAAATTGCAACCTTGCATCATGGGGGAAAAACAAATAAAACCGTTCGAAGAGTCTGCCGATCATAATTAATGATGGGTACAGGCAGACCCTGCCTTTTCCTTTTCGAGGGGCATAATAAATCTCAATATAACTCAAGTGACTGTTACAGTCTAAACTTTGACATTTGATGGAAGGGTTGGGCATTCCACACTCGCCTTTTCACCATTTCCATGACCGGACCTGCTCCTGCAGCCATCGTTTGTCATGCTGCACGTAAGTCCAATAAGGGTCCAGCTTAAAGTCCAAATACTTGACCGGGCAGGGAGCAGACCAGCCTTTACTTAAATACATATATATATTTGTTTTTCCCTGTCCTTCTTTTTTTTCGTGAAAGCCCAAATTGATTGCTTGAAAAATTTCAGCCTCATTCTCGGGCATCTTCGGTCATCCTCTTGGCTGGGACTGGGACTGGAGCTGAGGCGGGTGCTGGCCTTTGCTTTGCCTTTTTTTCCCCCAATTATTTTTTTGGTCGTTTGGGATTTCACTTAATTGAAACCTTAAATGTTTTTACATTGCGTTTGCCTACAGCAAGAATGAAAGCCACAGCAAACACAAGAGCACACATACATACATCCAAGGCAGTGTAAAATGAAGTTTACAAAAAGTGTAGCATACTTTTTGCGATTCCGCAGAAAAAGCTCTCACACACACACACATGAAGCAGTAGGGACACATTCACACAACGCGAAAGTCAATCAATCAACTTGTGTTTGCTGGACTTTATTTTTGATATTTTTATCTTAAACATTGGAGTGCAAATAAGTTATTTGAGAGTTGGCAGAGTTCTGACTCTTAAAATGAAGTGTAATAAAATGTACATTTGGTAGCTTCATTAGCTGCGAGCTAATTAGGAAAACAAAATGGCTAATGACTGAGATATTATTATATTTTTATATACTTTTCATTGGAAAGGTCCCAATCTTTTCCTTTTTCCGTTCTTCGCGTTTGGCAATTAAAGTGACCTCGAAAAATTGAGAAAAAAATTAGACATCTACCAGAATATTTGTATTCTATTTTTTATATATTTCAGTAGCCATTAAAGTCATAATTTCACATTAAGTGCAGACGTGACTGTGCCCGAACCACCGAAATATCCCAACGGGCGCCACATGAACACAATTGTGATAGGGCCCATGCCCATGTCCTCCCAGCAGTTTTTCTCATGCTCTGGACTCGGTCTTCGGTTTGCTTGCCATCGCAACCCAAACATTAATAAGTCAATTGATGTTTTGTTAACCCACCGAGAGGAGGCCAGAGATGAAGGCCGAGATGGAGGCAGTTCGTCATTCGAGTGGCAGCAGCTCCCTGGCGGCCATCGACATGCGTGTGCTCGCATTTATCCCGACGGGAGCCGGGACTAATTGCAATTTATGTACGCAATAAAACATTTGCCAAACTGCTGGTCGACACTGCCATTCGTTACGTTATGGCTTCTCCGGTTATAAATTTATGAATAAAGCCAATTCGGCGCTGGCGATGGCCTGTGGCTTTATTAATCAAGCCACCACGGTCACAGTCGAGTCAACAGCACAGCAATCCACCTCCCGGTGATCCGAGTCAATTGAAGTCAATGCTCAAATAATCACAGTCCCCGAAAAGTGGCTCAGAAAGGGGCGAAGAAGTTGATGTCGTGATTGGCTAAGCTGGAATTTGATTTCGAAGCAGAATCAGAATCAGCACTGCAAGACCATTAAAAAATTTACTACTGCATTACATAAAGATCCAGCGGCGAACACAAAATTTAACTGCCGCAGTCGTTACGCTCGAGGTATTAAAAGTAATCTGCTTAGCATTTTGCGGGAAATTATTCGACCAGTGGAAACAGGTGGCTAAAGGATGGAAAAAGGAGATGAATGCCGATGGTGATGCCCGGATGCCCTTCGTCAATTAATAATAATATGAAAATGTTTATGTGGAAAGTGTAAAAAAAAATATTATAATAATTGTATGGATTTTTACTTCCTATCGAAGAAATCTGAAAGCTTGAAAATCGATTAAATATATATCGAACGAGTAGTGCAATTTACTTATAATAAAAAATAGAAAACATCATTTGATATCCCTAATAATCCCAAATGCTATTATCTTCCGATATCTTCCTTGACGCTTTGAATTTATCAAACTTTCCCTAAAAGCTAAAATACCCTTACTAAAACCTGTCTGAATTGCACAAAAATTTAGCAGCAACCCAAAAAAGAGATACTGAAAGAGAGCGAAGAAAAAATAGAGGCATGGCAGGGCAGAGACCATGGGACGGAAAAGGATGCTCTTGGTGCTTGCTTCTTCTCCATTTGAAGTGATTGCCGTGCACGATTCGCGCTAAAAGCTTTCACTTGCCAATTGCCGATGAAAACAAATGTGCCGCAGTCCTTCGCCCATGCGTTCACCCCACCCGTCTCCGCCTTGCCATCATCTCCATCTCCACCTCCGCCTACTGTTCATCCAACCAGTTGGCCTGGTCCACTGCAGATGATTCTGTTTTCGCAGTTGTTTTTCGAGCAACACAGAAGCTCAACTTGGCCAGAAACCCATTCCTATTAGGGTCCGCATCAAGATGTAGGAATAGGAATGGCAGAGAGAGAGCGAAGGATAAATACCCTGAGGATATATTGGTGCGGCGATGTCAAAACTAAGGTAAATCGAAAAAGAGATGCTTGGATGGCAATCCCTTTAAATATCCTCTCCTTTTTCAGTTCTGTTCTAAAAGGATAGGTTAAAAAAAGATAAGTTTAGGAAAAGCTCTTTGGACTAACTACTAGTGGTAGTTAGGATATTTGCCAGGAAAAAAGGGAAACAGATATGTAGGATTATTATCAAACTGTGATGACAAAGATGAATCTTTCTCATCCTACAACCATTCGTTGGAATCTTTTACCTAATGGAACTCATTCCAAAGTATTTAAAAAATCACATTCCCTCAAGTATGACTCCTATAGGAAGCTAGCTGTATCTGCAATTAGTGATTCAAATGTGCACTAACTCTCCACAAATCTGAAATCGTTTGCATATCTGAAGCAGCTCCATCCATTCAAATTCACTCCATCAAATCAGTTCCCAAAGCAGGAAGACCTCTTCGGAAGTAACTCGAAAAACAAACCACTCAGAGCTGCCTCAATGGCGTTTGCTATCGGGGGCTGGGGCTGAGCTAATTGAAAACTACTTTCGAGTGCTCGTCCACCCAAACCCACACTTTAACACACAGACACACACCCAGACAAACACTTAGACACTCATACAACAATAGTAGATAGAGGGAGCGGCCAAAAGAAAGACGCACATTACTCATACGCAACGTTGGTCATGGCATACAAAGGCATTGTGGCTGCTGCTTCCTCTGGAAGTTGGCCAGACTAGGCCGAATAGGCCAACTAGGCCCGGGCACGTCTAAGCATTTTGTATTTTTTGTTTTGTCTTTGTCCATTAATGCCATTGCATGGCTTCTTGGTGTCGTTGTCTGTGTGCGAGTGTGTGTGCATGAATACATTTTGTTTTCCCCAAGTTTTTCCACAGTGGCTGCGTACGTGATGCGGCATGCGAGGTGTCATGGTGCATATTTGAGGCAAGAATTAGGCGTGGTCTCTCAACGTTTCCGCTTTACTGTGCTGCCACAGTGAACGCTGCTTAGTGAACTCGTTGAACTGTGTGCCAAGTGAATCAGGTGCCAATCACCCAACACAGCGCTAATAGCAACAAATGGCACCTGGCAACACCTCTAAGTGCTCTCCATCACGGCTGAGAGCAGTGTGTGGGGAGCAGAGAAGCCGCCGCCTAAGTGCATTCTCAACTGTTTCCGTTTCTTTCCGCCCGCATTGTTTCGATTTATAGGCATCCCAGGGGCGCTGCTTTTTGCTGCATTCAATCTGTTCGAGGAGGTCGGTCGCCCTCCGTTCGTTGCCACTGATTTAGAATTAATAAAGGCAGTGCATTTTTATCCTGTCGCCAGCAGCAGTTGATTTCACCTGCCATTGTCTTGGCGCACACACACATCCAAAAATAAAGGTAGATATACATATAAGTGTGTTGCATACATTTCAGCGCCAAGATTTATGCACAACCAACTCCGGTGCCTGCTGCATATGGGTTCATGCTTTTGCCTTTTTACCTTTATGCAAAGTGCAGCGCCTTGCCCCATCTCTAGATATCTCTGCATCTCTTTCTATGTATGCCTCAGTTTCTGCATAAAACTTTAGCTGCTGCTCCTTCTGCTTCTGTTTTTTTGTTGTTTTTTGTGCGGCATTTGTGTCAAGTACACGACGCAGATTAAAGGGTACAACGCTGGAAGATTGCATAAGGCACTGGCACAGGCACACAGACACCCAGAAGGGAGGCGGATGGGATCCATAGTCCAGAGGATAAAATGGGGATGGCTCTGAAATGGGAAGGACGAGATAAATGGCCAGGCAACGCAGCACAAATCGAAAGGAATTGCAATTTAATGGCATAACCTTTGCCAGGAGCCTGGAGCCTGGAGTCCTGTAGACTCCTCTCGAGTACATATCCCAGTCGTACTCCACCTCTCCCCTTTCCGCTTCTCTTGTGCGACGCATATGTTTGCTGGGTGCACTCTGATTGGATTACGTAATGGAATTACGTAATTCGATATTGCCTTAATATTATCAGTGTCATATGGCCATGTTTCTCTGAGAGCCTTTC